AAGAAGGGGAGGATCAGAGAAGTCAGGATCAAACAGTGTTTTTACACAATGCAGAGGATTAACCCCTTAGGTTCCACAATGAGTATAACAAGCATGCTTTACTGCATATACAGACTGATTTTACTGTTGTGGGTTTAGTAACACTTTAATGCAACTGACAGGCTGCAACATATGTGTCATTTTCAGTTGAGCCTATAATACCACTTCACCACAATTGCATTGCCTGCTGGATAGCTTTAGCTGTTTTCTTCTTGATTTCACTCGTTCCATGGAGCTGCTTTCAAATCTGCAATACATTTTCTATTTGTTGGGACTCTTCGATGTATCCAGCACATCGACATTCACATGCTCTATCAGCTCAGTTTGTAGATGCTAGACCCCAGCACCTGCAAGTTTAATAAACCCCAAAGCCAGTAACTCATAAAACTGATTAATTCAAGTTTAAATACACTCAACTTCTTATATTAATAGTGTGGCAGGAAGTCATTCATAATTACATTTTCCAGCCCACTTCCTCGTTCTAATAAGTGTGTGACTGAAACAAAAAATTCATCATTGTGTCAGAGGGGAATAGGAACCTTTTTTACAGCCTTGGAGCAGAACAGTCGAAAGCAGATGTCAAATGTTCATTGTACAGTTTGTAATTAAACCTTTGTAGGCTGGTGATGATGATGATGCCGACAATAAGAATGGCACATGTAGGTTTTTTATTTTTAAAGAGAAAAATGAATACTGTGGTGCTACCGCTGAAGGAGAAACTGATTTTTAACTGGTTCTTCCTCAAATAGTGCAGAGGCTACCAATCACACAGGCAACAAGCCCTTCACTCGGGGTCCCCTAAACAGTATAGGGCAGGGGTCCCCAACCCCTGGGTCACTGGCCTGTTGGTGACCGGGCCGCACAGCAGCAGGTACGGACAGGAATATCACAGACCACGGTCGGCACCAGGGGCGGACTGACAACTCATGGGGCCCCCGGGCAATAGGGGATCATGGGGCCCCTGTGTCCTTGCCCAAACTCAAAAAAGCCTATGAAAAAAGGTACCAAGGGCATCTCATGGGGCCCCCTACTGACCCCGGGCCCTCGGGCAGTGCCCGAGTTTCCAAATGGTCAGTCCGCCCCTGGTCGGCACTCAACTCCTGCTGTGCGGTCGTGCCACTTAGCCTGTGTGTCCACTCCTGGGTCTCCTGCCCCGCCAAAGATGTCATCCCATCAGCAGGGCAGGGGCAGGGGAGCTGGGGATCTGCACAGAGAGCAGGAACACCTCCAGCTCTCCATCCAGATCTTCGGTTCCTCCAACCCCCTACCCTACTGATAGGATGACATTGTTGGCGGGGCAGGGAGGGGCAAGCAGGAGACCCAGGAAAGTAGAGGCTGATAACTGCCTCTACCCTGCTAAAGGTAGTACTGTGCAGGGGAGGCAAAAGTTGAAATGGAGCAATGTGATTGCTAGGGGCACTGTAATATAAAGGGGGCTGAACTGGAAAGGACCACTGTAATATTTACAGTGTCCCTTTACAGTGCAGTGCCCTTTATATCACAGTGCCCCTTTTGCAGTACAGAGCCCCCTTTGCCCGTTACAGAGCAGTCCCCATTACATTAATGTAAAGGGGACTGCTCTGCAAAGGGGCAAAGTGATGGAAAGGGGACATAACTGTAAAGGGGCACTGTAACGTAAAGGGGGGCTGTGATGTGAGGACACTGTGGAACTGCATAAAGGGGAACTGTGATGAGAAGTGGGACTGTGGACACTGATAAAAAGGGGGAACTGTGCTGTAAAGGGGGCTGTGGTGTGAAAGGGGGCTGAGGACAGACTCCACAAATATCCTATCTCCTACGGGCCCTGAAAAAATTGGCTGCCACAAAATCGGTTCAGGTGCCAAAACTGTTGAGGACCGCTTGTCTATGGGATGTCTTTTACATTTTATTTGCTTATAGAACATGTAACAGGAGAAGGTTTGGAGTATTATGGGATAATCCAGAACTACAGGAGGATACACTCAGCTAAATGAAACTTCTTTGAGCAATCTTTAAGCCAGAAACAAAGGGGAAGACCATAACGGAGACCCAGTAGAAAACAAATTGCTACAGCTGGCACCCCAGAAGCACACAGTCACTGACTCCTGAGCTTGGGCCAGTACTCACAATATCCCAGGGAAGCTGCACATCCCCCAGCTTCCACCAGACACTCCACATTGAGTAATTCAGAATGAATCCTCAGCTCCAGATGAAATTAGGAATAGGCCCCCCAACTCTGCCACAGCTGGGACCTCAATGACCATCAGCCACTTCTAACGTGACTGCCTCAAAAATGGGCAGTGTCCCCTGAGACTGGAAATTCCTCCAGCAGGACCAGACCTGGGCTGTTCCAGGCCTGAGACTATTTATGTCCCCCTCCAGCCACCTACTGTTCATACTTCCCCTGAAAAACAAACAAATTTCTAACCAATGATGCGAGAATTGCGTAAGGAATATAATTGAAAAAGAAAAGCGCATGAGCTGTCACCTGGAAAGAAAAGAAGATTCACGGCCACAAAATTTCTTTTCTGTAGCAACATGAGGTGAAATTGAAGGCTTGGTTGGTCGAATTTCAAAATCAATGATGGCACCATTGAATTACAATCGACAAATTGTTCAGAATTTGACCCATGTATGGCCTGCATAAGGGATGTTTCATAATTGTGAAAGACAAAAATCAATTTTAATCTTTCCAGCCCCAGGTCTCATGGCATCTAAGTGGGCCTTTTTGGTGGTAGTATTTAAGCCACTGTACAGTCTTCCTCCTCTTTTTATGGGTGAACCTGGACCTCCTTGAACCATGTATGGATGGCCTTCGAACACTGCAGCCTATCCGCCTCAGGATATATATTATAAAGTACTGCAGGTGCCCGTTGTTGACCACTGTATATCCATTGTGTCTTACTTTTGCAATTGTGTGATTGTTGCTGTGCACTGAAATGGTAAATGTACAGTTATGAAATGATATCCCCACCTTCACATTCTTTTCATTAAGATATAGTAAAAACTGGAGGCCTCGGGTACATACAACCAGTGGTGTATTTAGGTTTCCTGCTGCCCTAGGCAACACAAAAATCGGCTCCCCCCCTCATGGAGAGACCCTGACACCGACCAACACCCCCCTCCCCCATGAAGAGTGCCTGACATTGACCAACAACACCACTGCCCCCCCCCCTCCCCAACCGAGAAGAGAGCCTTCCACTACCATCGCCCCCCATACACTGGCAACCCCTCCACCTTTACGAGAAAGAAGATACTCACCTTCACAGCTCCGGACATCCCCAGGAACAAGAGTCAGGCTTTGCATACACCATCAAGCAGCCCACAGCCTCCCTCAGATCCCACCTGGTCCCCATGCTGTGTGTGTCTCTTCTTCCATCTCTTCTTTAGGGGGGCGGCGCTGCCCCCCTGAAAAATGCTGCTGCCCCCTTGAAAGATGCCACCCTAAGCAAATGCCTTGTTTGCCTTGTGGTAAATACACCCCTGCATACAAGTGGATATTTCTGTCATGGACTGTTTAGCACTAGGCAGCCGTTACACCTTTTGAGGTTTTTGGGTCCAACAAGGAATCATGTATGCCGAGACCTGACCACAAGGTATAATGGAGACATGCGCTTTGGACAGAGATAGCCATTGTTCTCCATTACTGGGTCCTACAACTGCATGACATTGTACAGGATGCTGTAACAGAGCAACAACATAGATGCATATTTACAAATACTCTGTATGTGAAGTATTATGTATCAAAATTCTACACTGTTATCATGGACTGATTTCTAGAAGCACAATATAAATGTATATGATACTAAGTGTATGAGTGCCCTAACTCAATCATGATGCTGCTAGACAGACAGACAGAAGGGCACATTGAGCGAGTTTTATGACCATATATTGTATAAAACACCTAGTGAATAAATGCAGTATGCAATTGCTTGTAATGCAGCCTGTTCTGCCAAGCAGATTCTACAATAACATGTACTGTCTGTCCATGAGAACTCTTTAAAATAATTGCTTGTCAGGCTTTTGATCTTTCTTCCGTTGCAATGCACACTAATGATTCTAATTAAAGAAAACAAATGTTTCTAAAGTCTAATATCACTACCCATTATATGCTTTTGTTTTCCTACATTCCTTGGTGTGGTTTGCCCTATGTACATGTTAATGAAGATGCAGTGTACCTGGCTAGAATTGTCACCCCTTTTACCAGCCAGCAAAAATAAGAGAGACCTGGGGACCAGACTTAGAAGACCAGTTCCCACCATGAAGCAAGTATTGAGCTTTGTCCCAGGCAGTACCTTCTTGTGGGCGGTATGGAGTGTGTCTCAAAAATTAAAGGGAATTGTTATAATAATGAAAAGAATATCTACCCTGATCAACCATAACATTATGAATAAAAATAAATAAGTGATGTAGCGCTGCTAAATAATAGCTACAAAAAATAAAAGAGTCACATAACTGAATAAAATGTCCATAATGAGTCCATATATGTAAAATCAATCAATTTGTAATAAAGATTCTTCCATAATTCATGTGTTTTCTTCTTGTGCTGATATTCCAAACACCGTCAAGTAAAATAGTGTACATAACATATAGTGCCACCTCAATAATCACAGAACTCTCACCTCAGAGCACATGGAAAAGCGCTTTATGATATCAAATAGACAAAAGGATTCTTCACTTTTTCAATCCACAGCCATGTGATAGTAACAAACACCTTTGAGCTTTCAATAGATTAGCAAACCAGAGCTGGGGATCGGTCCCTTTAACAGCCTCCCACCCGCCATATAAGGTAATGACGGGCACAAGGCGGTTCTCTCGTTCTGGGAGGACGTCATATGACATCCTACCACTCTAACCACGCATGTGCGGCTCCGGGAGCACGCAGCGCGGCGATCGGTGGTGCGCTGTGTCCCTCGGACACAGTGGATCACCGATCAATGGAAAGAGCCGAAGTTGTTGGCTCGGTCATGTGATCAGCTGTGTCCAATCACAGCTGATCGCATGTAAATAGGGAAATGCCGGTTATCGGCATTTCTCTCCTCATGAGCTGTCATGCTGACAGCTCTAGAGGAGAGGAGAGCAGGTAATCAGGATTCCTTGGAGGGGACATGTACACTGATCATCAGGGCACTGATGATCAGTGTGCCCTGATGATCAGTGTAGCCCCAGAAGTGCCACCTGCCAGTGACCATCAGTGCCTTATCAATGCCACACATCAGTACCTACCTGTGCACATCAATGCCACATATCAGTGCCCATCTGAGCTGCCTTTCAGTGTCACCTATCAGTGCCAGTCAGTGCCACCTATCAGTGCTGTCAATCAGTGCCACCTATCAATGCCAGTCAGTGCCACCTATCAGTGCTGTCAATCAGTGCCACCTATCAATGTCAGTCAGTGCCACCTATCAGTGCTGCCAATCAGTGCCACCTATCAATGTCAGTCAGTGCCACCTATCAGTGCTGCCAATCAGTGCCACCTATCAGTGACAGTCAGTGCCACCTATCAATGCCAGTCAGTGCCACCTATCAGTGCTGTCAATCAGTGCCACCTATCAATGTCAGTCAGTGCCACCTATCAGTGCTGCCAATCAGTGCCACCTATCAGTGCCAGTCAGTGCCGCTATCAGTGCCAGTCAGTGCTGCCTATCAGTGCTGCCTAACAGTGCCAGTCAGTGGAACCTAACAGTGCCAGTCATGTATCAGTGCTGCCTTTCAGTGCCCATCAGTGATGCCTGTCCATGCCTATCAGTGCCACCTATCAGTGCCGCTTATCAATGCCATATATGAGTGCTACCTATCAGTGCCCATTAGTGCAGCCTATCAGTGCCCATCACTGCAGCCTCATTAGCGCACATTAGTCAAGAAGAAAAATCACTTATTTACAAAATTTTATAACAAAAACTAAGAAAAAATGTTTTTTTTTTCAAAATTTTCAGTTGTTATTGGTTTGTTTAGCAAAAAATAAAAACCCAGAGGTGCTTAAATGCCACCAAAAGAAAGTTATATCTGTCTCAAAAAAATGCTAAAAATTTCATATGGGTACAGTGTTGCATGACCGCGCAATTGTAATTCAAAGTGTGACAGCGCTGAAAGCTGAAAACTGGCCTGGGCAGGAAGGGCCCTGTAGGCGAGTGGTTAAGGGTGATGGAGGTCACACATTCCTATCCTTAAAAGAGAACAAAGGACACTCCCGTGGTGCAGTATGTACTAATATAAAAATGTATTAAGAAGCAGTAATACACTCACATGTAGTAATTGAATAAAATGCCATAAAATCATCAGATGCAGGCTTCACTTGTTGTCAGCTGAACTCACTATTCATGTCTGCCCAGAGCCAAGACCCACATTATGACCACCTACATAATATTGAATAGCTCCCACTTTTACCACCAAACCAGCCCTGACCCGTCGAGGCACTGACTCCACTAGGTATGCTGTCGTATCTGCCTCCACCGGCTTGCCCTCTTCCCATAGTGCATCCTAGTGCCATTTCTTCCTCAAATAGGTGTTACACATGCACCCGACCATCCATAAGATGTAAAAGAATACATGATTCACCAGACCAGGCCACCTTATTCCATTGCTCTGTGGTCCAATTTTGATGCTCATGTGCCCATTGTAGGCACTTTTGACTGTGGACATGGGTCAGAAGGGGCACCCTGGCCGGACTGTGGCTACACAGCCCCATACACAACAAACTACGATGCACTTTGTGTTCTGATACCTTTCTATCAGAACCAGCATTAACTTTTTCAGCAATCTGAGCTAAAGTAAAAGTAAAGTAAAGCTGAGCTTCTGTTGGATCGGACTACGTGGGCCAGCCTTTGCTCCCCATGTTTATCAGAGAGCCTTGGCTGCCCATGAGCTTGTCACTGGTTCACAAATACTCTCTCTTTTTTTGGCAAGCCCCGACCATTGCAGACTGGAAATATCCCACAAGAGCTGAAGTTTTGGAGTTGTTCTGACTGAGTCATCTAGCCATTAAAATTTGGCATTTATCAAAGTCATTCAAATCCTTATGCTTGCCTAATATGACTCCCACTTTCAGATGCCAAAAGATAATCAATGTTATTCACATTCAATTAGTGTTGTTGCTTGGCTGTAGTATGCCTGGGCTTTAATTTATTCAAGTTCTATTTTTGTTGAGTTTTTCTTAAGCTCAGATTGTTGTTTGCTTCTTCCTGTTGTCAGGGAGTGTCACTAGCAGTAGAGAAGGAAGATACAATAATTCTGAGTTATAAACTTCTATATCTCCCTGGCCAGCCAGTAGGAGATTTATTGTTAGTGGTGTATGCTGGGGAAGGATATAAATATTTGGGATGACCATCCAGAAAGGTCTTTTGTCCATGCCTCCTGGGCTGATGTCTGGAGTGGAGGCTGTGTTGCAGGCCTCTTCTTTCAGGCCTGGTGAGGCTGAGGCCATGAGTGGGTCTGGATCTGGGGCCTGAAAGGCTTGCACTGCCTTGCTGGAGGGTACATCCAGGAGGAGTGAAGCCAGTGTCTTGTTGGATCACCAGGGGAAAGAGCTTCACTGCGGAGGAGTATCCTAAAGAGCAAGCTGCTGACAGTTGGACATTGCAGGAAATCTGGCCGCTCCGCTAAAAAGGTATTTGTGTGACCTAAAATTGCTCTACAATCTAAAGAGTACAGATTGCAGGTCTCAGCTTAAAGGTTTGCATTGCTGTATTGAATGTTGCTAATGGAAACTTCTGGAGTCGTTTTGTAATGGCAACCTTGGAAAACGTCCAGGAAAACACCAGACATGAGCGTGAGGAAAACAAGCTTTTTATTTACCAGCTGGTTGACCTAGCCAGATGCTTGAAAAGCATCTTACATGATATATATATCAACAATTACGTCACAATACATATATTTCCTCTTTACTTTTTGTACCTTTAAAATACATTCTGAGCAGTTCAGGATATAGCCTTTGCAGTTTCACATTTAGATAAGATATCACTAACTGACAGGGTGTCAGCTGCTAGACTGGAACACATTGTTCCACAGAAAATGAGAGGGAGGAAGTGAGCTGATGACCTGGTTCTGAAAACAGATGCTTTTAGAAATGTTAAAGCTTAAAGGGGAACTCTGCAATATTTGGGTGCTGCCACAGTTTTTGGTAGTTTTATGGGTATCCTGTGCCCTAATGCTCTCACCTTGGGTTTATCATGCCTTATAAACTTTGTTAAATGTTCCAAAATTATTGGTGCCCAATTTCTTCCCCACCACACAGAGTCAAGGATTCCACCCTGAGGTTTGAAATGCTAGGCCACCAAGCTATCAGGGAGTCCTCAACCACGTTCCAGAGTTAAGGGGGTGCTACAGTAATATACTGCAGTTTACCAGTGCTTTGATGAGGACGCCTGAAAGCAATCCAGTGTCCGTGTAACTTTCTATACACTGAACTGTTATCAACTATTCCAGCTATCTTCTATGAGCTACAACCATCCTTGCTCTCTATGTAAAGGAGGTTTGGAAGAGGTTTTTTGTAGTTAAAATCAGAAGATCCCCTACAGGTACAGTACAGTAATTGATCGTTGTCACCCATGGAGGAGGTGTGTTACTGACAGGATCACTGACTTAAATAAAGGGGAAAATTTTTTTTAAAAGAAATGAATGCAGCCATCACTTCTAAGGACAGGTAAGTAGCAATATGTTATGTTTTTGTTCTTGGGTTTAGCTATCCTTTAAGGTTTCCATCCCGTCATTGTTCTCAGTGAGTTTGTTTTATTCTTTTGTTTTGATCTTCAGTAATAAATTAATGTGTATTTTGGTCTACCCTGTAAATCATTGCATGACTAAAGCCTGGTACACACAATGAGAAGAACGGATGAATGATCGTCCATTTTTTTTTTTGCATGCTAGTGTCATACCAAAAATGAAGAGGTTACTAGAGGTACAAAAATTCTCGTAAGACAGAATACAACTTTCCGCGATGATGTAATGTATTCCATTGTACTGTAATGTATTCTTTTGTTTCCGGTCTTGGTCACACAATTTTTTTACGGACGAATACTGTACTGATTAAATGAAAATAATTTGTTCTGGTATCGTGCGAGAAAACATTTTATGCTTGTTCCTTAGGATAATTTTGCATCTTAGCTCTCGAGAGCTGTGTACTAACGATCAGATTACTGGACGATCTTTCCAAAAACTTTTTTTTTTCATCTGATATTCTCATCATGTGTACTAAGGTTTAGGCCCCATTCATACATGCAGTGTCAAACCTGTGTTTACTTTAAATGAGTTTACAAATGCACATAATGATCTATGGTGTCATTTAAACTCAACATTTTACTTGCGTTTAGCTACAATCAGTTTAGCTGCACTCAGAGGAGATAGAATTCTGTGTGTCCGGATCTGCTTAGGCCTCATTAGGATAGGTGAATGAGGGTGGATAGGCTGCAGTATTCGGTGGCGGCTGGACACTGCTTCTGGGCACATCAGCACAATATGCTATGGTCACATGTGAACCGGCTGATTAGCTGTGGTCAGTTTATGACACTTACCCAGGATGCAAACTGTCAGTGTCCAGGCCAGACAGAGTCCCTAGTCATATGTAACTGCTCAGATGAACAGTTACTAATACATGCAAACATCGTTGACACCTTCCATTGATGTGTACAGGGTACGAATCTGCTGTGTGTAGCACTACCCCCATAGGGGCTACTAGTAATAGCTGGTTCTTCCCAAAAATTACAGAGGCTGCCCACCACAACAAGCACCAGTCCGTAAACTCTAGTTTCAATAACTCAGTCTAGGGGATGCCTTTTTAATATTTATTGCTTGAAGAACTTTTAAAAGGAGATGGGTTAGGGCATGGGATACTCCAAAATGCTTGCAGAGTAATGCACAGAGAACACTCTCCCATAGGCTCACAAACATGGGTTCTTCTGGGGACACGGGAGATTGGCCAGTACCCTGAGACCCTGCGAGAGCCATTTCAGTCCACAGCTACCTCTGGCACTTACATCCCAAAAAAGCACAGTCACCAGGAATCATATTTTACTATCAGTACTCACAAGTCCCCAGAACAGATGCACACCTTCCAGCATCCTCTGTAAATAGCCCAGTGAGGTAGACAATCCTTCTCCAGACCAGATAACTTATGGTTAAGTCTCACAGCCAGCTCCTCAGAAGATAACTCCAGATTCCCAGCTCTGCCACAACTGAAGCCTAAAAGAATAGCTACACAGTCCACAGGCTGTCGCAGGGGGCAGTAGCCCCCCGAGGTTCTGGAACCCTCCCTGACTAGGAAAGAACAACCTCTCCAGGGCACCAGACCATTTATCACCAGCCCCCTTTTGGATATTCCCCTTCATGGATTGGCTAGGACATGATAAATATTCGGTCTGGTCATTTGACACTCCCAACCCCATATTCTGGAAACTTCTTTCAGAAGCAGGGAGAGCAGTCAAACACCCAGCCAGTGAAACCCCGAACAGACCAAAACAAACAATCACTGCTCCTTTGACTTACAGAAGGAGCCAAAAAAACTAAATTTGCCTAGGGTGCTACATGTGCATAGGGCTGAAGTGGGTAACCCCACATTAAAGCAGGAACATATAAATTCAGGAAAAAGTTTTATACTTCCCAGATCATTCCCTTGCGTTTTAGCGTGTGAATTTAGCTTGAATTCTGAAAACCATGTTAGGGATTCTGTATATAGCCCTACAGAACAGACAGTGCACAGTCCACATGTGTTTATCTGCCGCATCTCTAATAACAGGAAACAGGAACTTTATTGTAGAGAAAAGACATAAAGTACAAGTATAGATGCACCTTCAAATTTATAAACACTGCCATCTACTGGTTGAAGAATATATCTCTATTGAATACTGATGTACAGTAGTTGTTGCACACAAAAATACATGAACATGGTATTCCAACACAGC